TCTGCCACCGAGACAACAAGTGCTGCCCGATCATCTTTGGGCACATAGAGGGGAAGGAGCAGAGCCTCATGATCTCAACTGAAGAGGGAAACGAGAACTCCAAAGCTAACCCAGAAGAAGTGGAACAGGCGGTAAGCAAAGGCCAGGAGAAGAATCTTGGTGTAGCCACCCATGTCCTTTGGCCCTTTGGGGGGTGTTGTGGGTGCCGGCTGCTGTTCCCCGGTCAGCAGGACTTGTGTGTCCCCAGGTGAGGCTGGCGAAGCAGCTGACGCTAGATGGCACCATCCGGCCGGAGAGCATCGCCATCCTGAGCCCCTACAGCGCCCAGGTGTTCGAGATCAACAAGCGCCTCTTGAAGGAGGGCGTCCGCGGCGTGACCGTGTGCACCATCATGAAGAGTCAAGGTGAGGCCCGCGGGAGAGGGAAGGGTCAGTCCTCTGCCCTGCCGCCTTCCCGGGGATTAAAGCAATTTATCGCAAACGCAAGAAAATGTGGTGCCAGGGACATCTCAGCCAGGCAGGAGGCGTCGCCGGGCCGGATTTCCAGGTGATTTGTGGTCATAATGAATCCCTTGGGAGCCTTTGGAATGCCCAGGCAGGGAGAGAGTGATGAAAATAGGGAGGTAGCTTCAGTATGAAGGACATCATAAGGGGGTATTAGAGAACTGCCATAATAATGTATAGAGCAATAAGCTGGAGTCAAATAACCTCCAAGGCTGGAGAAACTTGAACGGTGGCTTGCCGTTTTGTGGATGCTTGTGGCGGAGAAATGAGTGCCTTGTGATGGCCTCCCACGCTTCTGAAACACCTTTTCCATTCCTCCTTTTTAGGAAGTGAGTGGAGGTACGTGATCATGTCGACCGTACGCTCCTGTCCCCGATCAGAGGTTGATTTAAAACCCACAAAAAGCTGGCAGAAGAAGTTCCTGGGATTTGTTACCGATCCAAACCAGGTTAACGTCGGCATCACCCGAGCTCAGGAAGGACTCTGCATTATAGGTGGGTAACAGGGGTAGCAAACGTGGCAGCACTAAAAGAGGAGCTGTGCAATTATCCAGCACCGTGAGGCTATAATTGCTAGCCAAAAATCTCTGATCCAGCTCTGATGGAGTCATATTAGCCTTTTCTGGCCACTAACCCCCTGTCCCCTTCCTTGTATCACCAGGAAACCGTTACCTCCTGGAATGCAACCCTCTGTGGAAGAGACTGCTTCAGCATTACATAAAGCACAACTCCTATACCACAGCCCGAGCTATTTATGTCAAGAAGATTTCAGCCGTCCGCCGATAAGAATGGATTATACCTCGATGAGCTCGTCCCTGCGCGAACGTGCTACGTGTGCCTTGCGGAACGATGCGCTCTTCCCCTGCTCAAACATTGAGCAAAATGCACTAAGGGAGCCCAGACCTGTCCTTGCGCGTCGACAGCCCCAGCTTCAGTGTGTGCTTTGGGTTTCCATTCTGGTTTTTTTTGTCAGTGAGACTTTGGACAGGACCTTTCAGCTCTAGCAAACCAAAAAGCAATGGGAATGGATGGATGGGCTTGTGACTTTATTGGTGATGTTGATATTTTTTTAATTGTGAGATGCTCAGCAGAGCCACCATCCCATCTCTGTGCAGCTGTGCTTTGGGGACCAAATCCACATTCCACTCATCAAAAGCTGAATGACTGCACCCAACTGATCTGCAAGGCAAGCTGTGATTTGCCATACAGGACCAAAGCTTCTGAGTTTTACCGCTCATTTTAAAACCAAGGCCAGGGAATTTTAAAGGCTGCTTATTTCTCAAAGCAGAAAAACTTTTTATTTTTTTTAATGAAGGAAGAAAGCAAGAGGAAAAACATGTAATGATCTTTAGACAAAATGGTGTAAATATTACGAGCCAAGGCCAAGTTGATTTTGTAAATAGATCTGCTTATTCTTTGTACAAAAGAAGTTATCCTCGCCATATAACATTAATGAAAACTGGGAACTGCTCCTAGCAGGAAACTTTGAAATTTCTAAGTGTATTTTAAACTGTTCCGGGGTTTATTTGAATTTTTCTCTTCCTGTAAGAGACCTTTTCTTACCCCCTATTTTTTTAAAGCTGCTTCTAATTTATTAACTTTTAACTTGGTGAACTTTGTCTCACAGTTGGTGGCCTGAGCTTTTAAGAGCAGTGTTGGAAACTTGATAATCATGTATCACAACATATATGTATAATGTGTTTTTTATTTTAAGTAACCAAACTGCTGTGAACTGGAAGTTGTGATTCCTTCGAGAAGGCTGCGTTTGCCCTTCGCTTCCAGCTGATCCGGATGGACAGCAGTGAAGTGGTGCCCTCTCCAGAATCACGGAGCTGCTGTTTGCAGCGTGGGTGTTTCGGGGAAGCGCCTTTTAGCTCGTTCCAGTTCTGAATGTATGAAGTGCCTGCCTCAGCTCTCCCCGAGACCAAATGTGTGACTGTCTCTGGATGTTCACGTGGGATCGAGCCAAAATGCAATCACAGCTTTTTTCTTTTTTCCCCTCTTTTTTTATGTTTGCACCAAATGTATGTTGTGCTGGGGCAAGAATCATCCCTGGCATAAATGATGGTCCTCGTGACTTGGCGGTGTAATGGCAGGGATGAATTTGGTCCTGTGTTTGCACTAGAAATGCAGCAGGGCTCTCTTCCCAACGTGAAGGAATGTGCAATAAGAAAGCGCTGTGTCTGGGTAAGTCCATTAGTCATCCTGTGTCCCTTTTCATGCTCTGATTGTGTGTTAAACTCGGGAACCTATGGAGAAAACTTGTTCCACTCTTCCTTATTTTAAGCTGCCTGCCTGCACCTCTACGTTTGGTGGATTTGGTCTGTACACCAGAGACTACCCAGGCTTGCTGTTATATTTCTGAAGCAAAATAACTAGCGCATAGCTTGAAATTCCACTTGGAACAAAAGCCTGCAGGCAGAACCTCTGCTGGGTCCAAAGATGCTCCATAGAAGCTAGTAAGATGCAAAGTCAAATGTTCCTTGTTCCTCCCTGAAGCCATCGCTGAATCTTAAGGATTTCACACCAGCCTTATTTTTAAAAACAGTACTGCAATTCCAAAATAAGCTTGTATAGGAATCATTTTGTGGACTGCTGGAGTGCAGTGATCCCAGAGGCGGGGTGGAGAATGCAGAAGGTGCGGACATCCTTCACGTCAATATTCCTGCAGTCAGCAGATACCGCACGCGTGCTGCTCCCTTTAGAACCAGTGGGACCCATTTTCATCATCTGATATAAATGAAGAGCCAGTCCCTCCCTCGTTGGTCCTGCTGTTATTTCCTCCCATCTTACACAAATGAGGAGACTCGCCTGGGGGTTGGCGGCTCAGTCCGATACCCGTGCCTGGAGGTTGGCCGTGTGTTTGTAGGAACCAAGAAGCAGAGCTCCCTTCCCTTTGCCCGGGGAAGGGAAAGCCGGGAATGAGACACTTTGCCACTTTTGCAAGACAATACATGGATTTTTGTCTCTGAAGATGCATTTTGTAACTCGTGTTTAGGAAACACTCCCCTAAACCCCAAAAGCAGCAGTGACAGCCCCGGGCCTGGGCTGTTTGTGCTGGGCGCAGGTAATGGCAGAGTTGGTCTTGTAGCTGCAAGAGTCAGGGCTAGCAGAAAGTGCAATTAACTGAACATTTTATAGACTGTTAATGATGCCTGAATAGCGTGGTATGGATATCGTGGTCCCTTCTTTATCATAGGATGATAGAAGTTAATGCTGAAAAAAAAAAAAGTTCAAAGCAGTCTGGTTTCATTTGCACACAGCTTTGAATTTACTTTTTGAAATATTTTTATTTGAGAGCAAATATTTGTGAAATAATGGTTTATTTTATTTGCTTTATTAAAAACAAAGCAAAGCCCACCAAAACAACGAAAAGATCCTTTGGTCATTCCAGTAGGAAATCACCGCCACAAGTGCTGCGACCACCCTGCTCCGGCTTGCGGTGACATTACAGACACACAGAACTAGCCAAAGCCTTTGGCTTCGGGTGGCATGGGAGAAGCCCGAGGAATGTTTTTGGAGGATTTAGACAGATCTGGGTAGGATGATCAATTTATTGCAATAAATTGTTTTTTAAATAGAAATGAAATGTTAAGTGTCATGAAGTGTAAATTAAGGGACTTGGAATGTGGCAGGTTTTTATCTTTTGTATGTCTGTGACTGGCAGCAGACCTCAAACTGCGTTTTGGATACAAATATTTTTACCTGCTTCTAGTGTTTGTAAGAATGGACCTCAACATTCCTTTTTGATATTTAAGCCATAATTGTAAAAAATGATTTGAATTTATTTAAATAATAAAACGTATTGCTAAAAGGTCTGTTTATGTGACAGTGCCTACTAGTGTCTGTGTGGATACCACTGTGTTTGGACCGAACTAAACGGTAAAAAAGAAAATGAGCATTAGGTGCAATATGTGATGTAGAAAATATTTGTCTTCTAGATGCTGCTGTGGACATATTGCCTGTGTTTGCTTGGTGTGTGTGTGTGGCGGGGCTCTTTTTGAGGAAACTTCTTGCACTGCAGAGTGATGAGCATGAAATCATGAGTAGGTAATTATAGTGCATGGAGTGTACAGCGTGAGAGGAACCTGTTAAGGGGGATTTCAGGAGCTTGGGATTCAGGTGAGGTGTTTTGGTGGAAATGGGTAAAAAAATACTTTTGAAGGTAAAAATAATCCTTGCAAGAAGCCAGCATGGACCATCTTTTGGAGTTGGGCTGCACTGGGTGATGGAGATGCTTTTGCATCTGAGATTTCTGGTCAAGGAAACAAGACCTGTCTCTGCTTCCAGCTGCTGCCTGTGAGCTCTGAGCAGTGGGAAGGGAGTCCTGGCTGCTGCCTAAGGACGTTTTATCTACCAAACTTTGCAGCGGGTTGCTGTTAACCCAGAAAGGCTTGTGACAGGACTTGTAAAGTTGCTATTGAAAACAGAACAAGCTCAGTGTTGCGCAAAATGCTTAAAAATAAGGTTTTCCTTTAATTTTTCCCATTCCACTTTTTCAAATGGATAAAGCGAGAAAACCTTGTGTGTCACGTCCCCCTTCTGGTTCGCAAAGGCTGCTCCCCATGTCTTGGTCAGGGCTCGTTTCTGTCTTCAGTGTAATGCTGTCGTGCCACTGCTCATAGACGAGCGCGTAGGTCTCGGCTCGTCGGACGGTGAATTCGTAGGCTCGGCCGCGCAGCAGGTTCTGGATTTCGCACATGTTGGAGGTGATGGTCAGATTCCCGCAGTGGCCCCTCTCCTGCATCCCGTGCTCCAGGAGCCTAAAGGACAGCTCGTACTGCTCCTGCTGCGCCTGCTGGCTCGTACTGAACCACTTGAGAGTGGCCCGGTCCTCGTGTGCCACCGACTCCTTCCGATCAAACACCACTGGCATCTTGGTGCTGAGAACAAGGCGAATGCGGGGGATTTTGGGAGCTCTGGCATCTGGCACCAAGCGGTGCTTGAGATGGAGCTTCCCCGGCACTAGAGCACCAAGGAAGCTGTCGATCATCTTGGAGAGGTCTGAGACCCTCTGCTTGATCTGGTCCCACTGAGAGAGGAAAGTCACCACGTCGTAGGTCTTCAGGTAGCAGAGCAGCTCCTCCCGGCCTCGCTCCAGCTGCTCGAGCAGATCCTCTAAAAGCAGTAACTGGATTTTAGTCTGGGTGGCTCCCACCTTCTTCATCCTCTGGAATCTCCAGGGGTCAACTTGTTGGAATAGGTTTATGGGATGCATCGGGTGGCTCTGGTCTCCCAGGGCCAAGTGCTTGGGCAGAATCTCGATGTAGAAGGAGCTCTGCTTCAGCAGCTCAACTCGCTTGTGGTGGCGCCTGAGGAAGTGGAGGCTCAGGTTGGTGTGCAGGAACGTCAGGAGGCTGCTCCTCCTGTCCAGGTATAACTTCCAGGTGCTGTCGGAGAGTGCCCCGCAGCTGCGCAACGCATTCTCCAAACGGGTTCCAAAGTCTTTCAAATATGCATCCATGATTCCAAAACTCACTGTTGCTGTGCAAAAAAAAAGAAAAGAAAAAGAGCTGCAATGATAAAAATAAGAACCAAAGGAAAAGCAGCTATAACCACAGCTGTGCCTCTCTTCTCTACCTAATTAAAGCTTCACTTATAAATTTATAGATGGGAAAGGGCTGCTAGACTAGAACAAGCCCTGGGTAATAGAGGGATGTTCCTCTATAAGTGCCAGGTGTTTTATGTTTTGTAGAGCCTAGTTTTATACATGGCAATCAGCTGGGCTCCCACCACCTCCCCTGGGAGATCACAGCTCCGTTTAATAGCTTCAACCTCTGTTTAACAGAGGTCGTGAGTTATTTTCTGGTGCTCTCAGCCAACATTTCTCCCCATCTTAGTGCCCTCTCGCTCTCATTTGATGCCCCTGTGCTCCTGCAAGCAATTGCTCCCGGTTTTCCCCATCCCTGGAGATGCCTGCACGGCTCCGCTTGCCGCGTGGGGAGGCTGGAGGCCCCGCTCCGAGGCCGTTCCGAGGGCTGCAGCCTCACCTTGGCGGTGCGGCTCAGCCTTCCAGCGAGCTGCCGCAGCCTCATCCCAACGTTTTTCGCGTGCCCCTCGGTTTTCAACAGCGCCTGGACAGTTGCAGCCCGGCAACGTTTTCTGTGATGCACTGCTTTACCTTTCTTTGCTTTCAGTTTATGTCATCACCCCGCGGTGGGATATCTGCTTGTTTTCTCATGTCATCACTGCAGCTTGTGTCCCCTGAGCAGGAATCACCTCCATTCCTATGGCCGCGCTGCCGGCCAGGGCCTCGCGGCGAGGCTTGGCCTGGGAGCTGCGATTCACATTGAGTCACTCACAGCAACTCTTTAGTTTTTAATTATTTTTT